GTTAATCTTTATTAACTCTATGAATTAGAAAAAGTGACAATATTGTACATAACATTAATTCATCTACATGTACAAATCATATAAAAAGTGTTGTAATGACAAATTAACTTATATTCTTATTAGGTGGAATCTCACTTGTAGACTTAAAAGTTGTTATTAACTATAAATCGTCTTTCTGCAGAGGCAAAAAACCTTTATTTTTCTGCCGAGGATAGGAATTTTGGATGGAAGTGTGTTCTATCAGTGTGTGTTTTGCAAAAATGAGCAAGAAACAGTTCAGCATGTGCTAATCTCATGCCCTTTGGTTTGGAAGGTGTGGACTGGTTTGCTACAGTGGTGGGAGATTCAATGGGTGGTTCCTAGATCAGTGGAGTGTTTGTTACAATGGTGGGATGGTATCAAGTTCAAATATCTGAGAGGAGAATTTGGATGGCTTTACCTCTAGTTGCATTGTGGTCCATATGGAAGTATAAACATGAATGCTTGTTCAATGGAATTCAACCAAGGATGGGGGAGTTTCAGGAATCTATCATCATCAAATTAACTATTTGGTTGAAAGCCTCTTTCAAGGAGCACTAGTATTCTATTACTAACATCTTACTCAATTTTTCACAAATTAGAAAATGTAAAGGTGGAAGATTGTGAGGCAATTTTGTAAGATTATGAGTGTACGTTGTTTCTGTTTTGAGTTCGGAATCTCTCTAACTCTCTTTTGGGGGTTTGGGAATGCATATGATTGGTCTAATTTTGGGTGCCAACATAGTTGGGATGCTTAGTTTGGACAATGATGTAATTTTCGCCTAAGCCTTGTTGTAACCATGCTTTATCTTTAATAAAGTTTAGTTGTTTTTGCTGCTAAAAAAAAGAAAGAGTATAAATCGTTTTAATTTATGATAAATTATATTTTTTAACATTAAACTTTCACAGCCAAGGCATTTGACTTATAATACCCTTTAATAGTGTGAGTTCTCAGATTCGACTTCTATAAAGAGGAGTGTGATATCTTTTATGATAATATTTATTTCTCCCTACCAATGGATTAACTTGGGCATGTTTATTCACCTAAAAAAAAAAAAAAAAACTTGATCATGTTTTTCATGGCCCAAGTCCATATCAATCCTAAAGTGAAGTGAACTTGGTCTATATCTTGATTAGCTAGGGGGAAGAGAAGATTGGCTCATCCTTCCATTTTTTATACAATCTTATTAATTGAAAGTATCATATTTTTTTATATCACAATTATTTTTGACTAATGATTAAAAATAATTAGCTTTCTCATAATTCATTTGAAAACTACTGTGATTAGTGGATATACAAAAACAGCCGCCAAGAAAATGTAAACTAAGCTCTTCTTGGCTCACCCGTGATTAGTAGGTACAAAATACAGCTGAGCTGCCAAGAAAATGTAAATTAAGCTCTTCTTAGCTCACCGACTACATCAGTCTAATAATGTGATAAATTAACAACATTAAGCAGCCTTTCCCCACAAAAAGCCTAACAATTAATATCTAATTTGACACAGTACGTCACTTCCCCACCAGCTCAACCCCGTTTGACATCGAATAACCCTCATTTTTTTATTTTTTTATTTAATGGAGGTAGAGTTTGACTGTTACTGTTTTTAAGTAGCTTTTTTGCTTTTCGTTTTTTAGAAAAAAAAAAAAAAAAAAAAAAATTTGATGTGTTTGCTAATTGCTAAAATAGAAAAATTACTTTTTTATGTTGAAAAAAAATTAACAAGTCTTTAAAATTTTTGTTTATTAGTAAAAATTATCATATTATCTTTATAGTGTTGGTGGAGCGAATGTTAACATATGAAGAGTTAACTGATCTTTTAACAATTCTATTCATATTTCTTATATATATACATATATTATAGTTACAAGAAATTAAAGATTAAGAGACAAATTTAAGAACAAAATTATTTTTTAGAGATAAAACATTTGTGTTGCCAAAAGTATTATTATTTTATTTTTAGTAACAAAATTAGATATTTAGTGATAAATTACTAACCTTTGTCTCAAATAAAAAACTTTTTGGGCATAAAAGTGTTTTTGTTGCAACATTTTCAAAATTTGGTCCTTAAAAATTTTATTTTTGACTTTTCGGAACAATCTTTTAGCAACTGTAGTCATGACAATTAAAATTAGTTCCTAAATATTTTTTTTAAGAAAATTTATACTTTTAGGTTCTATTTGTTTTGACATAAAATATTTGAAAAAGATTTTACTCATTTTCTGTTATTTAGTTGAACAAAAAGCAAGTAAAACATTTTTTAAGGAAAATATTTTTGCATTATTTTTTCAAAAATAAATTCCGTAAGTCAATTTTTACAAAGTTGACTCTCACACCTTTTCAACATATTTAGCATTTTTAAATAAACATTTCAGCTCACTAAAAAGTCATAAATGACACTTTATTGAATCAAAATTTTCTCTTTTAGGTAATAAAATACTTTTGTTTCAAGTATCAACCAAACACCGAAAAAAAATATTATATGTAAAATCAATTTACAAAAAAAAATTTATGTAAAATATATTACATTAAAACAAACAGAGCCTTAGAGACAAAAAACACTTGGGTACCGTTTGGTTAAGTTTTCCAATAATGATTTGAACCAAAAAATTTCAAAACTTATAACCAAACAAAATTTTCAAAACTTATAACCAAACTCTTTTCAAAACTCTATTTTAAAAAAAATAATAATTCAAAAAAAATATTTTTTTATTTCTTTAAAAACATATTTTTATTTTTAAATTTTTTGAAAAAAATATTTTGTTATTTTATAATTATTAATTTGTTTTGATTTAAATGTATATGGGCGATCCAAAATTTTGAAAATTTTTTTTTTTAAAAAAATTAAAATTTAAAAAACTATAAAATATTTAAAATAAAATATAAAATATATATTTAAATATTTAAAAAAATAAAAATATTTTTTAAAAAAAATACATCGCACAAATGTAGTAAATACAATGCACATTAAAAAAAATTATATTTACAATAAAAAATATTTATCCTAAAAAATAAAATTATGTAAATTTTTAAATATTTAAATATTTTAAAAAAAGAAAACCTAAAACAATTTCAAAATACAATTCAAAACTCAAAACTCTTTTCAAAACTTCTAACCAAACAAATTTTTTTTTTTCAAAACTTATATTTAAAAACTTATTTTTCAAAACATAACTCAAAATTCAAATTTTATTTTAAAAATTAAATCAAACAGAATTAATCTCTGAAACTTTTACATGTCGTAGTATAATAAAGTTACATTTCGGGCAAATTAAACAGACTTGCAAACTTTGGACCTTTGTAACCAAACAAAGACTGAACGCGATGGACTAGAGGTACCAAAGATGTGTTTTTTAAGCTATGTTTGACAGGAAAAATAAATAAATAAATAAAAATAAAAATCCTTGAGACAGATTTTCAATTTTCAAGTTGTTAAATAAACTTAGATATTCGACTTGACTTGTATTTTGCTCATTAAAAACTTATTTGAGATCAATTTATTAGTATATAAACAAACCAAATTCCAATACAATTTTAAGCTCACTAACTTTTCAAATCAAAATTAAACAACTTACTACTCAGCTTGATAAACTTATGTGCATTATAAAAAATCAAGCTAGTTAAGCTTGATTCATGTTTATCTCATTGAAGTTCATTTAAGATTAACTCATTATGTAAATAAATTAAATTTAAATAAGTTTTGAAATTCATTAAGTTTTCAAATCAAACTTAAATAACATACTACTTGTTGGGTTTAAAGTCCTATCAATCACACAAAAAATAACATACTACTTGGTTGGTTTAAATAACATACTACATGCTATTAGAATTTTAACAAAAAATAATCACTGAATTGGTTGAAATTTATAAGTTTATAATTTTATTTTTAAAAACATAACGCATGTCACTTATGTGCATATTTTTTGTTAAAAAATACTAACAATTGTAATAAATTAGACAAAATTAAGACAGAGTCTAAAATTCAAAATCAAAATCAAACAAAATGAAATTACAAAAACAAAAATATAAGAATCAAAATATAAGAACTACTAAGGTAATTTATTCTGCTTTTTGTGTTCCCCTTTCCTGCAGGATTAATTGGTTTTCGAGTGGTTACGGAAGAGTCAATGGGTTACCAAAGTTAGCTATGGTGGGCAATATATCTAAACTAAATAAATTTAAAATATAATTTGTTTTTTTTTAAATATTTAAAAAATTCCCTAAAAAAATCAACATAAACATAGTTGAATTTTACTGATTGATGTCCACCATCCTAATTAGGAATTATAAGTGTTGTTGGCAGTGACAGAGATAGGATTTTAATTTAAATAGGGCAATAACAAAATGTTATGTTTATAATAGTATTTTCATCCCGCCTTACTTTAACCCTAACAAATTTAATTCCCATTTTTAACCAAGACATCGGCTTAGACTATGATGATCGTCTCTAAAAAAAAACAAGTATTTTATTAAGAAATAGAAATTTCATTAAATAAGAAGTAATCTTTTACATATTTGTACATATATTCATCTCAGAAGAAGAAAAAAAATACCAATAAGAATAAATTAATAAACATTATAAAAAAGAATAAGAAATAAACATTTATCGGTAGACTTTATAATATTATAAAAGTGATTTTGTCATAAAATAAACATTTAAATAGTACAAATTATAAAATTATTTAAAAATTTAAAAAAAATATGAGTAGATATTCAAATTTAAAGGAACAAAATGAAAAATAATTTATTAATCTATACTAAAAACATAAATTTTTTGTGCCCGTCCTGGGCCCATGTGCCCATATTCCCTCCGCCACTGGTTGTTAGTTGGACGGAGAGGAAAGTAGTAATTTCAGCAGACAAGTACAAGTCAACATTTGCTATTATATTATTAGTGCTCATCGATTACGTCACTAAACCCCAACCTCAGAGGATCTGGATCCTTCACTACTGCCTATATAAACCCCATCATCCAAGTATCACTCCTCAAAAACATTTTCCTCTCTCTCTCTGTGCTTTGTGTATTTTTACTTTATAGTTTTTGAAAAAAAAAAACAAAAAAACAAAAAATGGGAAAAACACCAGAGGAAGAACACCCAGTGAAGGCTTTCGGATGGGCAGCCAGAGATGCATCTGGGGTCCTCTCTCCCTTCAAATTCTCTCGAAGGTATCTAACTATCAGTCATTACATATTAAAATTTTATATTTTGAATACTGTTATTTGTCGATATGATAATATATCGCTCAAACTAATAATACTGTTATTTAAAACTATGACATGCATCGGCACCCAAAATTCTACTAGTCATGCAATGATTTTCATGTTTTTTCTTTTTTCCTTTTCGTTTCTGTTAGTTATAAAATGTTTTGAAATATTAATCCCTATATTTAAAGGAGAACTGTGAATTAGTGGGGAAAAAATTAAATACAAAAATATGGAATGTAAGTGATTTTATGTTTTGAATCAAATGAAATATGATATTATTTGTACCGTAATATAGGATCTACTCACACTTTTATAAATTTATAATTATTTTATAATCTTCTTGTTAATTTATAATTCCTCTTATATATTTATGTGCCACTGGAATTGATATTTCAGGGAAAATGAAGAATATGATGTGACATTGAAAGTACTGTATTGTGGAATTTGTCACTCCGACCTTCACTTCCTCAAGGATGAATGGGGCATGTCTATATATCCTCTTGTCCCCGGGTATGTTTATTGCACCCTCCTCTCTCTCTCTCCATCTCACGCACATACAAATACACAATGCATGATGTTGGAGATATATATATCGAGAAATGTTAGGAATCATGAAATTTTTTTCATAAAAATGATCATGAAAAATTTGTAACCCTTTGATTACCTTGATTAATATGTGGTGCTTTACTGTAAGTGTAATCCAAATGTCACAAATCTTTCATGACCATTTTCATGAAAAACTTTTCATGATACTTAGTATTGCTTTATATATATCATCCAACTTTTAGAAAAACAGTTCAAAAAAAATAACTTCTAGAAAATCGAGGCAAGATACATTTTCCAACATCTTAATTATACAGTGCCATTTTGGGAACATGGTAAAAAGTAGGGGTGCAACTCGGGCGGGCTCAACCCGAGCAACCCGAGCCCAGCCCGAGTTTTTTTAGGGCTTGGGCAACTATATCTTATAATCTGGACGGGCTTGGGCAGATTTTTGATGCCCGAATTGCAATTCGGGCCGGGCTTGGGCAGAACCAATGGCCAACCCGAGCAACCCGAACCCGAATTCAATTTAATATATTATATAATATATAATATATAATATATATATAATTTAATAAATTATGTAATATATATAAATTAAGTAAAAGAGTTAGTCTTAATTTTTATTTATTTATTTATTTATTGGTTAGTCTTCTATTAAGTAAAAGAGTTAGTCTTAATTTTTATTTTTTATTTTTTTTTGGTTAGTTTTCTACCATTAGATTAGCATCTTTTATGTCTACCCTTAGATCTACTTACAGGTTTCTGAACTCGGGCAATTCGGGCAACCCGAGTTCACAATACAAAGCTTGGGCCGGGCTTGGGCAACAATGTTCGGGTTCATGGTCGGGCTTGGGCGGGCTTGGGCAGTGCCAAATGCAATTCGGGTCGGGCTTGGGCAGACCCCCAACCCGACCGAACCCGCCCGAGTTGCACCCCTAGTAAAAAGCCACGTTTTTTGACAAAATATTCAAAAACGTGACTGCCAAAAAGGCCAGAAAAGCCATTTGGCAAGTGTCAAAAATGCAGCCGTAAAATTACAAATTAGGGCCTATGAAAAAAAATAAAAAAACAAATCTCTTATGTTGGGTAAGGGTATTTTGGTCATTTTAATTTGATTTGATACCATAAATAAATATTAAACTAAAAAGCAAAAAGCCAACTTTTTACCAACTTCCTAAATCACTTCCAAAAAAGCCAAAAAACTTGATAAAAAGTCAAAAGCCAACTTTTTATCAACTTCCCAAAACAACAGTCCACTTTCTATGTATTTTTTTGAATTATATATATTTATTTCTATGCAACTAGTAGTTTTTTTTTTTTTTCTTCTTCTTTTATTATCTGCATTATTTTGTTGACTTTACTTGCAGATATATTTAATTTCACTTTCTTCTATTATCTCTGTTTGTAAATTCCACTGAACACAAGTTTCACCCTTCACCCAGAGCACACATCAACCCATCGCAAGGAGAGTTTCCAAAGAGATGGAAAGACAAATACTTTTTTAGTAGTTTTTATTTTTATTTTTAAATTTTTATGATAAAGTTGTTGGGGTTGACAAATGTTAAAAAAATTATTTATTTGTTATTCAAAAAGTTTAAGTGGGGCTGCCAATTTTTTTCTTTAATGAACCTTTTTTTGAATGTTTTTTACTAGAAAAGTCTTAAAATAAATCACTAAAGACAAAAGATTTTTTTTTTTTTTTGGTTTTGCTAGTTACCAAATGGGGAATTTTTTTTATAATATCAAAATTTTATAAGATAAAGGACATGTAATATTTTCATAGTAGCTGGGGTCTCTCAACATTTTCACAAAAAAAAAATTGACAAAAAATTTTAATTTTTTACAGAAAAATTTCTCTGATATTTTGAATTTATCTAATATGATCACAGAAAAAGTTTATCGAAGGATCTTAACCAATAAAAAAATATATATATTGAATCTCTCCTACTACCCAAAATTGAAAAGAGATGTTTTACTAATTTTTCCTTATCAAATCTGATAAATTTTGTTTAACAAGTTTTTTCCCTCTCAATTAAATGGGCTGAAACCAAACGGTCAAAAACTAGCCTTTTTTATTGAAACAAATAGAACCTAAAAATAGATATTATTTCAATTTCTCACACTGGTAGTTGAAATACAGTATTCAAACTAACATTGATCACATTGAATTCCACATTGCAGCCATGAGATTGTAGGCATAGTGACAAAGGTTGGCAGCAAGGTGCAAAAGGTCAAAGTAGGCGAAAAAGCCGGTGTGGGATGCTTAATTGGATCATGCCATTCGTGTGATGATTGTGCCAACGACCGCGAAAGCTACTGTACTAAACAAATTCTTACCTATAGCACCACTTACTATGATGGAACCACCAACTATGGGGGCTATTCAGACATCATGGTTTGTAACGAGCACTTTGTGATTCGCTTTCCTGACAACCTTCCTCTTGATGCTGGTGCTCCTCTCCTGTGTGCTGGGATCACAGTCTATAGCCCATTGAAGTACTTTGGACTAGACAAACCTGGTATGCATGTGGGTGTGGTTGGACTAGGTGGTCTTGGTCACATGGCTGTCAAATTTGCAAAGGCTTTTGGGGTTAAAGTTACAGTTATTAGTACCTCTCCTAGCAAGGAGAAGGAAGCCATTGAACATCTTGGAGCTGACTCATTCTTGGTCAGCCGCGATGTTGACCAGATGGAGGTAACTCTTTTTTTGTAGTTTGCGGATGAAATTGACAAAATTAAAGTGCAACAAGTGCGTACTTGGTGGACTATAAGTATAATTAGTCCCCTTTTTTTTCCCTCTTCTAGTATGTAGTAAAATTTCTCATTTTGGAATTTCGAATGTGTTTAGGCTGCAATTGGCACAATCGATGGTATCATTGATACAGTCTCTGCAGTTCATCCTCTCCTACCATTACTTAACCTCTTAAAATCACACGGAAAGCTCGTTATGGTTGGCGCACCAGAAAAGCCACTTGAGCTACCAGTCTTCCCTTTGATTATGGGTAAGCAAATATTACTTCTTCTTTCAATGGATTGAAGAAAAAAGATCCAAGGCATTTTAGATTTATTTGAAAGAATTACAATCAATATAAATAATTATTTATTACCGTCGTGTATGTATACATTTGTTTCAAGTAAAAATATTGTTGATAAGAAATGGAAAATGACAGGAAGGAAGTTGGTAGCTGGGAGTGCCACTGGAGGTTTGAAGGAAACTCAAGAAATGATTGATTTTGCAGCAAAGCACAACATTACATCGGACATAGAAGTTATTCCAATGGACTATGTGAATACTGCCCTAGAACGTCTAGTGAAAGGCGATGTTAGATACCGATTTGTGATTGACATCGGTAACACATTACATGCTACCTAAAAAGAGGCCCTTCTGGCTAATAATAATTAAACTTTCGTTCCTTTGAAGATGTGTCAAAGCCAACTGTTTTGCAAGTTAAATTGTGTATCTTCTGAGAGAGTCTTCATTCAGAAGTTGATGTGTTAAAAGATGTTGTTCAATGGGTGAATAATGTGTGTTATGAGTAATGAATTCAATGAAAAGCTGTCATGTATAATTGTGGAAAGCTCTAATTTTTAGCACCGACTTGAATTGCGTTGTGTTGAAATTTAAAATAAGATAAAAGAAAATATCTTATCTATTTGAAATAAGTTAAAACGTGTTTTTTTATCTTCTTTTTCTTGGGTGTAAAAAACTAATCACATAGTCATAGATACCTACCTTTGACTAATGGAGAAGAACAGACCTAACGAAAAAAATATGAAATTATTTTTTTACCCCAATATTTTTATTTAAATGAACAATAATAGTCCAACACCACATCTACAAGCTCAATAATCAACACGAGAAATAGCTCATAATGAAAAAAAATAATCAACTAAAAACAATGAATAACCCAAAATGAGAAATAAATAATCGATCTTTACCTTTAATTAATAAAAAGAAACTCCTAACCTCCCAGTTAAAATTTTATATGACTGACTAACTGAACTATCTCTGTTGATTGATTTTCGGAATTTGTTTTGGTATAAAATGTGTGAATTGTGATTAATTTCCAATCTTCTAGCACTGGGGATTGTAAATCAATCACAACTTAAAATCTTCAGATTGTTTCAAAAATAAACATTACATAAGAAGAAGAAAAAAATGATTAATTAAAATTTTAAGGCAGTAGAACAATACTAAACACTTAAAAAAGACCCAACATATTATTATCCTCAAGGTACAAAAGCAAATGCACCACCTTGCAAAAAGAGGCATAAACCCAAAAAATAAAAATAAAATATAATTTAAATAAATAGAAACCGAAAAAGTGCTTTTCAAGATGCCTAGATATAGAATCAAAACCATAAAATTTCACTTTGTGGAACCAAAAAACTACTGACTGAATTGTGTTGTTTTAAGCACTTTATGCAACTACTTGTTGACTTGCTCTGTTCTTTTTGGCAATGTGTACAAGCATTTCGAATTCGCTTACTAGTTCAAATCTGCACATGTCTCCTTCTTTAACACGGTTGTCCCGAACTTTCATGTTGGACTATACCTGAATTCAATGGCATTATACAGTGGGAACGAGCCATTGCTCTGCAAAGTATTTCCCTCATCCTTTGGGAAAATTGCATCCGATTGGTTCCATAAGCTGCCAAAGGAAAGCGTAAAGACATGGGAAGGCTTGGCCGAGATGTTTGTAGCCAGGTTTGTGACGAACAAACTACGGCCCTTAAGGGTCGACGCCCTGATAGCTTTAAGAATCACCAAGGAAGAAGGCCTTAGGGCCTACGCGAAGAGATACTACGAGGTGTTCAATCGAATACCCGAATGCAACCAAGAAGTGGCGGTCGTATCTTTCAAGAACGGCCTGAAAGATGACTGCCCACTATAGAAGCCTTTGGCAAAAACACTGCCAAAAAGCATGAAAGAGCTCATGGCAAGAATTGAGAAATACGCCAGAGCCGAGGAAGATACATCGGGAAACAAAGAGATAAAGCAGGAGAAAGCAAATGGCTCGCCGAAGCGAGGCCGAGGTAACAACGGACCACCCAAACAAGAAATGGAATTGAAGGGCAAACAGGCAGTGACGACGGTGTTCCGAATCCCCATCCATAAAGTCCTGGATCAAATACGAAACCAACCCTATTTCAGACCTCCAGCAAGAGCACCAGGGGAATTCATGGGAAGAAACATGGGTAGGCGTTGTGCTTACCACAATGAAGAAGGGTACCCAACCCAGGGTTGTAGAGCCCTAAAAGCACACTTAGAAGACTTGGTAAGGCAAGGTCATCTGAGGAACCTTGTTGATGAGGCCAGGACCAGAGAAGAACAGGCAAGATTGCCTCAAGCACTAGCAGCTCCACCACCTCCAGCACAGCAACCACAGGCAGGAGGACCAAGGGTGGTTAATGTGATCCACTCAAGGGTCAACGAGAACGAAGTCAGAGGAGAAACTCAGAGGGTAAGGCATTTACAGCATGTCTACCAAATCGGGGAAAAAAGACCTCGGCCTGAAGAAAGCCAAGGACCAATGATAACCTTCACTGAAGCCGACCTAGAGATGGTCCAGCATCCACATAATGATGCCTTGGTAGTATCCCTCCAGGTTGGGGAATGCCAAGTAAAACGCATCCTAATAGATCAAGGCAGCTCTTGTGACATAATGTATATCAGATGTTACAAGGAGCTAGGCCTTCATCCTGACGACCTGGAAGAATCCAACAACCCTATGGTCGGCTTCAATGGAACGCCGACATGGCCACTGGGCGCAACAAGCGTGGAAGTACAAGCCGGTACTAAGAAGATCAAAACAGAATTTATGGTAATTGACACACCCTCACCATATAACATCATCTTGGAAAGACCATGGTTGCATGCAATGGGGGCAGTTCCCTCAACATTGCATCAACTACTACGGTTCCCCACAGAGCATGGAATTGAAGAAATCAGAGGAGATCAACTGCAAGCAAAAAGTTGCTCCATAGCAGCAACAAAGTCCACTTGCAACATTCGAAAGCCAAAGAGGCAGAGATTGAAGACGAAGACATGGAGGTCCTAGATGATGTCGGTAAGGAGCCAACCGAAAAGAGTGAAGAGACACTAAAGAAAATCCTAGTCCAGGAGGGCAACGAAGAACGTTTCTTTCTTCTCGGTTCAGGTTTAGCCGAAGAAGAAGAAAAAGAACTGGAAGATTTTTTGAGAGCCAACATTGAAGTGTTCACCTGGACACCTTATGAAATGCCTGGCATTGACCCCGAGGTCACTTGCCACAGACTGAATGTCGACAGGTCGGCAAAACCTGTGATTCAACGAGCCAGAAGACCGACGTTGACGCACGTCGAAACAATAGAAGAAGAAGTAGACAAACTTCTTGAGGCCAGGGCCATCCGAGAAGTTCACTATCCGACATGGCTGTCCAACACAGTAGTAGTGAAAAAGAAGAACAGTAAATGGAGAGTCTGTGTAGACTTTACCAGCCTCAACAAAGCCTGCCCCAAAGACAGCTTTCCTCTGTCCAAGATTGACCAGCTAGTAGATGCAACTTCAGGGCACGAAAGGATGAGTTTTTTGGATGCATACAGGGGATACCACCAGATTACCATGTACCCTCCAGACGAGGAGAAGACTGCGTTCATCACCCCTAAAGGCTTGTACTGTTACAAGGTAATGCCTTTTGGGCTGAAAAACGCAGGAGCAACTTACCAAAGGTTAATAACAAAAATGTTCAAGCACTTGATTGGCAAAACGGTAGAAGTCTACATCGATGACATGGTCATGAAGACCAAAGAATCTAAGGGACATCTTGCCGACCTAAAAGAGATTTTTGATATACTCAAAACATACCGGCTCCGACTCAACGCATCAAAGTGCGCGTTTGGAGTTGGATCAGGTAAGTTTCTAGGGTATCTGGTAACAAGAAAGGGCATAGAGGCCAGCCCAAACCAAATCAAGGCCATCCTAGAGCTGCAGAGCCCGACGTCGGCGAAACAGGTTCAGATGCTTACTGGAAGGGCCGCAGCCCTAAACAGATTCATCAGCAGAAGCTCAGATAAATGCAGACCCTTCTTCAACTTGGTGAAAAAAGCCACAGACTTTCTGTGGACAGAAGAATGCGAAACCGCTCTAGCCGACCTAAAGAAGTACTTGACCACAACCCCGGTTCTTTCCAATCCAGAACCAGGGGAAGAACTGTTTTTATACTTAGCAGTTTCAGAACACGCAGTAAGTGCAGTACTAATCCGAGAAGAAAAAGGGGAGCAAAAAGCGATTTATTATGTAAGTAAAACCTTGGCCAGTGCAAAAATAAGGTATCTGCCACTAGAAAAATTAATGTTGGCCTTAGTAATGGCTTCAAAGAAGTTGAACCATTATTTTCAGGCACACAAAATTGTGGTCCTAACAGAGCACCCACTGAAGTCCTTGTTACAACAAGGAGACTTAACAGGAAGGATAGCAAGATGGGTAGTGGCCCTGGGCCAATATGACCTGGAGTTCAGGCCGAGAACAGCAATAAAGGGCCAAGTTTTGGCTGACTTCGTGGCAGAATTCACCCCAGAAACCATGGAACATCGGGCTCCGTTGAGCCGAGATGAGCAGCATCCCAGCAAGCAAGGAGAAGCCCAGCCAAAGGCAAAAGAACAAAGGAAGGAAAAACTCAGACCCTGCAGCATCTACATCGGTGATTCATTCAGACTTTTCGTCGATGGAAGTTCAAACTGTCAAGGAACGGGGGCAGGAGTACTGCTGATATCTCCTGATGGAGAAATAATAAAACAGTCCATCCGTTTGGGGTTCAAGGCCTCAAACAATGAAGCGGAGTACGAAGCATTAATTGCAGGGCTAAAACTAGCAGCAGCAGCAGAAGCAGATGAGGTAATAGTTTTTTGTGATTCACAACTTATTGTTAACCAGTCAACAAGTGAATTTGCAGCCAGGGACGAAAGGATGTCGGCATATGCAAAAGAGGTCATTAGATTAGCAACTCTATTTCAGAACTGCCGACTACTTCAGGTTAGCCGAGATGACAACACCCACGCCGACGCGTTGGCTTACCTGGAAAGTTCAATTCAGACTGGAAAAACAAGAACAATTATGATCGACTACATGTCGGGCCCGAGCATAGGACCAGAGAGCACAAAGCAGCAAGCAATGTGTGTGGACATGGGGCCAAGCTGGATGGATGCAATTATCGCATTCCTGAAAGAAGGAAAATTGCTAGAAGATCATAAGGAAGCACACAAAGTCAGATTGAAATCTGCAAGATTCTGTCTGACAGAAGATGGACATCTTTACAAAAGATCCTTCACTGGACCCCTTTTAAGGTGCGTACACCCTTTGCTGGTTGAAGATTTCCTCTATGAAATCCATGAAGGAATTTGTGAAAACCACGCTGGGGGCAGATCATTAGCCCACAGGGCCATTACCCAGGGATATTGGTGGCCCTACATGCAAAAGGATACATCAATCTTATTTAAAAACAGTTCGGTTTTATGGTTCTAAGCTAGAAAATTTTATCAATATATAGACTATCCATTCAAAAAATATTGATTCTACCTATAAAACTAATTTCAAAATTTTACAAGTATATTTCAAAA